CACCATCATGTCACATGAAAATTTAAATTTTGACAAAATATATACGAAATCTATTTTTACATATAATAGTCACATTGACATTAAAATTACGGGATGCATATTTACATTCTATTAAATTACGGATGGATTTACATTCTACGTAAACAAAAATTTGGTTTTTTAACACTAGGAGGTTTTTGCAATAGGGTTTAAAATGGTCACTAGATAGTGCAGATTGAACGGGGTTAAGTATAAAAGGTCAAAAGTAAACGAATAAAAGAATGACTCGGGGGTGAAAAAAGGTTGATAAAAATGTGTTGGGGAACAGAAGGGTTTCAAGATAAAAAACAGACCTCCAAAAAACGTATAAAAAAGGTAACTACAGGTGTCAGCAACGTAGACAAGTTAAGAGAGGTAGGGTTAAGGTTATCGGAGTTATAGCTATGTAGTTATTAAAGTAAAAGTAGTTATATAAAAACAAAGTGTGCCGTAGTTAAAAAGAGTATATCAGAGTAGATATATATAGACAAACAAGTATAGAGTTATGATAAGATACATACGATCATATACATACAGATAGTAGTACATAGAGGAGTACAATAAAGACAGTACAGAACAGTACAACAGTAACAACATATAGCATAAATACAAAACAGACATTATATATATATAGATACATGACGATATATATTAATATATAGACATATTATATATAGACTATATACTAGATATATATATATATATAGATATACATGGTATATATAGTCATAATTGGATATATATATATATATATATATATATAAGTTGTGGATTGAAAGATGTTGAAATGTTAGTATTGGTGAAAATTAAAATATGGTGTAGTGTGAAGTTAGAAATGAGTCATTTAAAGAAACCAAATTATGAGTGTGACACTTGTCTTAATTGCAACAGCATCCTAGCAAAAATGCACATGTTTTTGTATACATTGGTTTTTGATTGGTGAATTTATAAGTGTATTCAATCATGATATCGGCAAATGTTGTTTCCCTATACATAGCCAACTCTTCCTCTTTGTCGCCATTTCCTTTAGGAAAATGTGAATACGAAACTCATGCGCTTTCTTTCTCTCTCTTCTTCTACATTCTGGTTCTCAATCCTCCATTATCATCTTAGCCTCTATGTGTTATTATGCTTCTTTTCATCATGAATCCAACCCTATGTACCTATAGTTTTTTCCCTTTCTTCTGATATAAATTAATAAATCTTCCACATTGTAAATAATATATATGATGATGAATCTTCCTAACCAGACAAGGAAGGTTCCTTTTGTAACATTTGTTGTATTAATAAGCTTCATTGTGGGGCCAAAGCTAGTTTTTGGTCAGAGTAGTGACGGAGAAGGAGGTGGTGGTGGTGGCGGTGGCGCTCTTGAGATATTAGCCCAAGATGTATATAGTGGCATGGCCAATTATACATCTGTGTTCAAGAAAGTAATAAAACAACAGTTGGGTTATTGCGTAGTTGATGTGTGAGTCCCATCTTGAATGTTTTCATCACAAGCTATGAGCAAATACCTTTATCATTGTCTTAAATAATGTTGATTCAAATGTGTCGTTTTGTTTTCCTCCAGGGACGCTGATTGGAATGGGGCATTCAATTTCAGCAAAGATCTTACCTTTTTGACCATCTGTGCCCAGCAAATGAGAGGTTCTGCTTAATTACCTTCATCATTAAAAAATAGACTTCCATTGAGATGTTTGTGTAGATGATAAATGCACAAAAGATTTCATGCACACACAAATGTAACACAAATATAAAGAATTTATATGATCCTATCAGTATTGATGATGATGCAGGGGAAAAGTTGTTGTGGGGATCTTTTTGTTACCATTTTGTGATACACCTTGCATGAATCTTTGTCAAGTCGTTTTAGTTTTTTCCCAAGTTTTTGGGATAATTTGTGTTCTGTTTTGGTATATTTAGGAGATATTACACAACGCATGTGCACAGAAGCAGAAATACTAGCTTATGGCCAAAGTTTTGCTGGTGGGAAGTCAAGATCCAACTTCTTGAAGCCCAACATAAATTGTAATTTGACCTCATGGGTTAATGGTTGTGAACCCGGATGGGGGTGTAAAGCTAATCAAAAAGTAGACATTGACAGTACCAAGAAAGATATCCCTGTTAGATCTTTAGATTGCCTACCTTGTTGTGAAGGGTTCTTTTGCCCTCGTGGTCTCACTTGCATGATACGTAAGCATTTATGTTCATACAGCAACATCATACCATTAGTCATTGCTTTTATTTATCTATCTGCTATTGGCCTTGTCCACTAATGTGATATACACTCTGATAGGTTCAAACCAAAGAATATTGTATATAAGTAGTAATGTGAATGTGTTTGGATGTTCTAATTTCATTCATTTGTTGCGTATTTTTGGTTTACTACTGAAGCTTGCCCATTGGGGTCTTATTGTCCTCTTGGACAACTCATAAAACAGTGGAGTATGTCAACCTAAGTCCGTCCTTTTAGTTCTAATCGTTTAATCGTTCTACATTCTTGTTTTTGGCACACTTTAATATTTATCAACAGAATCATATGCAGTATCGTATACAGCTACCTCTGGATAAAGAGTTTTGGGCTTGATAGACAGGAACGTTTGAGATATAGAAAGGTTAATGGCTTGATTGATATGCATAAGATTTTGGCAGATAAGACAAAGAAGGTTTGGGCTTTAGGGATCCTAGACAACTTCTAGAGATGAGCTTAGTACTTAGACACATCTAATGCATGGATGTAGTTGTCTGATAGACGATTTGTCTTAAATGATGCAACAGAATGATGTTTAGTGGACTATATGTCCTAGACGATTGACTCTCTATACTGCTATATGAACACTATATGAACACTATCTGAACACACTGAACATGCTGAATCAAAATTCATTCAACGCTTCTCATACCAATAAGGGTTATTAGACAGTTAAGTCTATCTTCAACTAATGGTTTCTATAGGATTTGACTGAAATCTCGCACAAAGACAGACATTGAACATGATGTCAGGTCTAGACGCGATGACATAAAAAAGTGGACCTATCATTTGACCATAAAAAGTATTGTCCACTTTTCTTGAGCTTTGATCTAGCCCTAGGCTAGTTGCTGGATTCATTTGAGTCTTCATCTCCTTGGCATCATCCATTTTAAACTTTTTGAGCAGTTCCTTGATATACTTGGTTTAGTGTATGTAGATCGCATCGTCTTCTTGCTTGATTTATAGGCCAATAAAGGAATTGAGCTCGCCTACATACTTATCTCAAACTCTCTCGCATCATGATCGAGAAGTTTGGAAACTTTCATCGGTAACACAAAGATAAATGGCATTTACATAATATTTGAATGACTCTATCCAACCTTGATGACATTTTTCCTAAGAGCATGGTGTCTAATTCGACCTCTTGTGAAACTCTTCAGAAGGAAGAGGACTTAACCTTTCAAATGATCTAGATATGACCATCAAGGGTAAATTTGGTTCTTCTTCAGGTTTCATAGAGTCACTCTTGTCATCCTTTCTCTTCCAGTTTTTGCTTCAGTTTGAGTAAGGACATTTTAGTTTGATGTGGCCTACTTTTCCACATTCAAAACAGGTGGGGCAAAAAAGGTTGTCCTTATTAATGAGGAACTTTTTTTCCTGCAGAAATTTGGTCAATTTATTTTATATTAAAAATTAGAGAACCGTTTTACATTAGATTAGCTCTTCTTTGTCAGGAACTCTCTGCAGATTGATCATTCCGAAACAAGTTCTTTGAGATGGATTTCGAAGTAGTTTTGGCAGAGGACTTCAAGGCAAAAGGGATCTTTTCTCTGCTCTGTTCATTCTTTAAAGTTTTTTCCAGGCTCTAGCTCAGGTTCTTAACTTCCAAACATGTAGCCATTCATTGTAGTAAGATCTTTGGGATCCTGATATGCATGGATTTAGGTTGTCATGTTTAATTTAGGCTCTTCAAAAACTTGATGTCGCTCTTCATACAAAGGCTTTTCAAGAGCAAGTAAAATGATTAAACTATATGTTTTAATTTTCTGCAAATTCATACTGCTCTCTCTATTCTTCATCTTGAACATTTCATTACTCTTGATCATGAGTTATTCTGGCCCTTTTCACTTCCTAGTTCTCATGTTGTGACTTCAAGAACATCCCACATTCCTTAGTGTTTCATACACAGAAATTCTATAGAATTTCATCAGTATTAATGCAGAAAAAAATGTTCTGTCCCTTACATCATATGTGCTCTCTTAGTTCACAGCGTCCATATTAAGAAAGGTCTCGGTTGGTCTTTCCCATTCAATTTCTTGGTTGGTTAATAGGGACTATGACACAAACATACCCACCCACACACCTTTGTCTATTGAATCCAGAATATTTTCAGTTTTTTTTCTATTTTCCAAAAAGGATAGTTTTCACCAGCAAATAAAGGGGCTATTTGCTGGATGCACTTTACCAAAGGTTTGATATATATTGGCATTCCAAATCTTTTTAATCATTAAATTTTGATTAAACTAGCTTTGGTACAATTGTTATAAAAGTAGCCCTTATATTGCAAACCAAGAGGAGGGTGAATTGATTCAAATCTTGTTAAATCCTTAAAGAATCTTGAATCTTGAAATCAAAACCAAAGATCTTTGAAATCAACCAAGTAAAGAAAGATGAAAGAAAGATCAAAACACACAAAGATTCATATTGTTCAGCTTCTTCACAAGCCTACATCAAGTCTTTCCTCAAACAACTTAGTAGTGGGGGGTCTTCCATTAATCAAGCTTTGGAGTTTAGGAATACAATGATGATCTTAATTGCTACCTCACACCACTCAATATGAAAAAAAAAACTAGGAAGGATACACTCCACTTCCAATTCAGCAGTACAAGGAGATGATTCACTAAATTCTCTAACCGGGCAACCCAGGCACATGTACCAAAACAAATCAAAGGTATAGGAACCTCATTATATCAATACTCCAATAGGGCAGAAAATCAGATCATAGAACTCCCAATGTGTCTTGAATGAATTTTCTTGAGTGCTTGTGATCCCATGAAGCTTTAACTCATCCAAGAAAACACTCTTGAGAAAAAATTGGTACTCAAAAGCGCAGAGAGAATTTAGTATAGCCAATTAAAAGGGGGGACAAAGTAGGGCTCAGGCTGAGGTAGATAGAAATCAGAGCAGATCGTCGTGAAGCGAGGATGTGAAGATCGGAGATTGATTTAGCGTCTATTCTATTTAATAGAGTAGGTCACTGAGATAACGATTTAGGGAATAGGAGGCTGAGATAACTGCGGCGGGCAAGAACCTAACAGAGGAGGTAACTAACAGAATGGAGTGGACATGGTCGGTGGGGAAGGGAAGGGGGGGGAAGGGGGAAGGAAAAAAGGAGGGAGGAAGGGGTGGAGGGGGGGGGGGAGGGGGGGGGGGGGGGGGAGGAGGGAAGGAAGGAAGGGGGGGGGGGGGGTGGGGGAAGGGGGGGAAAAGGGGGGGAGAGGAGGAAAGGGGGGGGGAAGGGAGGGGGGAAGGGGAGGTAAGAGGGGGGGGAAATTGTTTATTAAAGTTTATGGTTGTGTAGTTGGCTTTGGGTTTGTTTTTGGTCCTTTGTGTGTGTTTTTGTATTTTATGGTAATAAAAAATGTTGGGTGAGGGGGATAGGGAAAAGGAAAAAAGGGGGAGGGAGGAATTTCAAATTATATAATTATAGTATCGATTATTTTAAACTATGCATAATTTCACTTCATTGTCTTTTCTAACAAACTATGTTATTTATATAACAGGATTATACCTTTCTCTTTGTTTTAATCGATTACGTAACTAAATGTAATCGATTTATTAACAAAGTGTTTTTCTTGTTTGCATTTCTGTGTTCTAATGTAATTAAGGGATTAGATTATTAAATATAATCGATTAATATACTAGAAAACTAGATTGTTCTTGATCATTTAGGCCTATTGGACTTTCATGATAATAACATCTAGCACAAACATTGTCAATGATTACATAAGTTTAGTCATTTTGTTGTGCAAGGATGATTAAAACCTTTTCGATACATCATTAATATCCATCTAAAAAATCAATATATGTGGAGTCTAATGCTCATCTTTTATCAACATAAACCATGTCCTTAAATCCACTAACATAAAGTGGAGAGCCCACTACAAGAATTGTGGCAACTAAAAATGATGGAACACGTATTAGAGACGAATTGATCGCAATGGACTCTAATAGAATAGATTAGAGATCATTGGACTTTTGTGATTATCGACCTAAAGTAAAAAAACAAGGTATATTGAACCTTTTTCAGCGAACATCATTCAGGATCTGATGTTATTAATTTTTCTACATTGATGATTAGAGGCATTGCCTTAACAAAAGACAATTAAGGCCAAAAGCAAACCATTTCTCGCACATGTGGGTCTAAGAGCATTGCAGGGAAAAGAGATGAAATTATGAAATATTACAGATCTGATGTGATTTTTTTTTTTAAAATTTAGGATTTATTTATATTATATTTTTTCTTCAATTATAGGCAAAAGAGTGTGACCACAGGGTCGTAGAAGAGAAATATGGATAACAACAGCTAAACATGTAATGGAGCATTTTGAATGATGAGCGAGGGAAAATAATTCATTCTTAATAAAGTCTATATTCTCAACAATGAATGTATTATTTTGATTTAAATATCAATTCATTTAAGTTTTCATTAATAATGTGAAACAAATTAATCTTTATCTCTATTTTAATACATTGTGATGTGAAAATGTACATAAAATAAGTTCTACAATGGTATGTAAAATAAGACACTACTTACATAAAAAAATATTTGAAAGCAAGACTTGCTATTCGAATATCATTGTATAGAAAAAGGAATAGATTATAATGAAATATTTAGTGTCAAAAATAGTAATAATAGGTATTTTTTTTTACAAAGATGATAATAAAAAATGACATATTTACCAAAGGAGAAAAAGATGACAATTAAAAAATGACATGTTTACCAAAGTATTTTTATCTCTTTTACATTGTGCACATGTAATAGTCACTCCTTTATATCTCTTTGACCTATCATTTGAATGCTTTTATACTTTATAAGGACATAAAGACCGATCTTGGTATAATACTATTACTTTAAGATTTGTTTACTTCAAAGTTTGGTTCGTTTTTTGTTTTGGGTGAGATCAAACTAGATATATATAGTAAACTAAAATGCTAATTTAATTAATAGTATAAAAATGTTGTGCTTTAATTATGGCTTAGTTGACGTATTTCAAAATTAAAGGAATACAAAATATATAATTTTTTACAAAACCAAAATTGGACTTTACAATTTTTATAACAATAAAATATATAATTTATTCTATATTTACTATTAATGAATTAGTTGCACTAAAGACGTGATCTATTTTCTTGCTTCATTTTGTAATTTTGTTCTTTAATTTATAAAGTAAGA